TAATGACGTTTTGCACAATAACATTAAAATATATGGATGTTTCGTGCTAATTACACTTTTATTTCCCATCCTTTAAGCTTTTTATCCACCCATGCCCTTTTACCCACCCCGCACCTACCCACCTCGCCTTTATCACCGATCCTTATATACAAATGTTTTTTTTTTTTGTTATTTTCTCTCAGTTTTCGGGGTTATTATGGAATGTCAAACGAAACCGAAACATTGCATTATTAATACCATTATGAAATGCTCATGGCATAATTCCTCGCATTGTTAACAACGCAAGAAACGGTCAATCGTAGTAAAAGTTACGACGCATCAAATAGGCCGTTACAAACTAGTATTTCAAGAATTTCGATAACATTCTAATTTTAAAATTTTGATATGATCGCATGCTAACCGAATTCATAAACCGTCTATGTCATCTTGAAGTTCGTTTCGAGAACTATATTGTAGACATATCAAAAGATCCAAACAAAAATCTTTGAACATTAAAAATAATTTAATGAATTTCTCAAAAAGAGACGTATAACTCATTTTTTCTTTAAAAATTTTCAATTATTTCATTTGTGTTTATTATTTTTGCGCGACAAATTTCTTAATATAATTTACATAATTTATTAAGATATTTCCATATGTGATATGACGTCAAAAATTTTCGGATCGATATACAAAATATAATAAATTAACATTAAATAAGGCTTTCGAATTATTTTTTTTCCTTTTTAATCCATGTTCTGAAAAATGAAAGAACAAATTAATAAAAAAATAAACATTGAATAAGGTTCAAGTAAGAATTTTTTTTTGCTTTTTAATCCATGTTTTAGCCATCCTTGGACTTTCTTGGTGCAATTTTCGTTCTTGCCTTTACTATGGTATATACATATTTTGTTGTTTTTCCCCACTAAACCTCAGGACACAAGACTTCTTAAATCAATGATCTCGTACAAGCTATTCAGTTGCAAAAGTTAGTTATTTTAAGCACGTTTTAGAAACCAAAAACCTTAGGGTAGTAGCAATTGTATATGGAAAGACGTGATCATATGTTCCGTAGTTGTGTACAAATAGGGATGGATTTATAGTGGGTCACCTGCCCCCACAATAAATTTGAAAATTCAATATTTTTTCAAATTTTTTTTTCAAGATTTTCAAAAAGGTCCTTGTAGTTTTTAATTTTTGCCCCTACAATCAAAATTCTATGTAATTTGCCTCCACAAATCTTATCTTCTAGCTCCATCCCTATGTATAAATGATAAGTTTGAAAATGCATAAAAAAACCTTCAGGTGGCTTGTAAGTCAAGCTTGAAAATATCCATACGAAAACAAAAGAACTCTCTTTGGTGTCTCCTTTCTATTGGCCACAAATCTTTCTAAACTTCTGAAGACAATTCTGAACCCTTAAAGGCTTCTTTCCGAGCCTACGTATCGAATAATTGCATTGGCTACAAATCAACCTGCATCAATTGATAAAACTTTAACAAAGTTTATCAAACCAACATAATAAAAGAATAATTTAAGATAACATAATTAATTAAGAATAGTGTACAAATTGTAGTGAAGCAATTTGTTTACCGTATAATTTTTTGTATAGAGCAAGGTTGTAACTCTCCTATACTTATCCCTGTTGATATTCTAATTGTTTTTTAGATTAAACCGTAGAGAAAATGTAAAAATGATCATGTAGGACAAGTATTGAGAAAAGAAGTGAAAAATAAGTCGTTTTAGTAGAATCCCTTGCCTAAGAAAGGAAAATATTATGACCATTTTGCTTAACCCACGTGACAAGTATATTACATACACTTATTTGGGCCTTTAAGTTAGAGTATTTATAGTTTATTTTGACAAATTATAGCTTCATTCTATGTGTATTGTATTTGTTAGGTATAAATCGACATAAATGGTGCAATTGAAAAAAATGATAAAAAAACTCAATTGTAAGAGATCCAAAGTTCATGGACTAATGTGCAAATACTCAAAAGTTGTGTCGACCTCACAATGAAAATTCAAGAATGCTAGGGATCAATTGGATGAGGAAAAAAATTCAAAGAAAATAAATATAGTCAAGGTATTATCAAACATCAATTTCCAACGAAAAAGTTATGTTTCAGATTTTCAGTATTGAATATAGACTTATTTTGGCATAGAAAATGTTCGAATTGGAAAGTGATATTTAAATAAGATGTAGCCCTTTGAGTTATCTTTCCATTGCACTTTGAATTAACTTAATCGAGTAATGGGAGAGAAAGTTGTGACAAAAGTACTGAAGACTGATCGGGATAAGAGGAGGCGCATACCTTGGCCTGTAGATGAGATGCGCTCTTCCTCCTCTTCTAAGACCGACCGAAGCTACCAAATTCACTACGGCGTGTTCCCTAACTAAGCCCAAATGCACGGCCCAAGGTAAAACGAAAAAAAAAAAATCCTTTTTCCTTGTCTTATTTCAATATCTTTTGGAATGGAATTTTTAAGTATACTATATATCAAGAGGCTGTCTAGAACAATAGGTAACCTAGTTTTCGACATAGAAGAGCAAGAAAATAGTGATTTTTACATTCAACATGTGAAATTTCATCATTTAGGATCGAATTTCAAGTGACGAATTGAAATTTCCACGTTCTTCCCAAGTTTCTTTGTCTCGGGTGGTATTTCTCTTTCTTTTGTGTAATTTTCATATGGCAATGTTAGGCTAAATCTTTTATGTCCTGGATGGATGAAACATTTGATTTATAGTTTTTAATTCGAAACTTATTATTTTTTAGTTAATTTTTGTGTTCTTGGTTAAATATGCACGAATCTTGTTTTGTTTGAATGTTTGGTTATCATTTAGATAACTAGTTGTTTACTTGTAGTGTTGGGAGACTCACAATAAGTACAACACTTCATATTTAACCCACGAAAAATAGATATAAGGAATAATATTTATGGCGTGTGCAATTGTATACGATAATCCTGTGATTGACCGCGTGCTTTGCATATAAATTTGATCTAGGAATATGATTGGATTGTGTTAAGCATAGATTTAATATATCTTGGAAGAGAATATTAGATATTAACGGATTATTGATTGTCAAGAACACATTAATCAAGCTACTTATATAAGTCGAGAATTGGAATTAGACATCAACAGGTGAATTCTAAAATCTAATACATTTATCTCATCTTTGGATAAAAATCAATTTTTTTATTACTTTCATAGTTTAAATTAGAATAATAACAAAAAACAAATCTCTTTTGTGTTACATTAAATCAAATTTGATTATAATTAGTAAACTATAATTACAATTATTCATTGTGGAACATACTTTTAACTCACTAAATCTATTACTTGTCAATGACCTTGTACGCTTGCGGATTTTGTCTGAACACCACGTTTCAATTTTCAATAGCCCAATCTTTCTATAAGATATACTCTTTGCTATTGATGTGAACAACATGCATTCATGCATTGTTACACTTAAAAAGCCCTTGGCGAATTCGAGGTCAACAAGAATGGCATCTTCCAGCTCAATATTAATGTCAAGAGTGATAATTTGGTGGCATTAAAGACATTGGATAGTTTGAGAATTATATGGAATGTGTTTTTGAAGGATTTTGAGAGTGAGTTCACTATGATGGATTGTAGAGGGAAGGAGAACTTTGTTTTGGGGTTGAAGGGAGGTCTTCGAAGGATCTGTCGCTATTGGGGTGTTGCTTGAGAGGTGATGCTAGTGGACTGGTGGCGAACTTGAGGTTGGGCTTGAGGTTAAGTGGTAGTGGAGAAAATGAGTGGGGGGTGTTGAGTGTCGTGAGTTGGAGATATGTTTGGGTAGATCATGTACTCATCCATTTGCAAGATTTTCTTTCACCTTAATTAATAAATATACTTTTTTAATATTTATGGACAATATGATACGTGATATTTAAATCTTATTTATTTAATAATACTTAGACAAGCTCCACGGGTAGAAGTTTTTCGCTAAGAGAATATTTATGCATGATAGTGTAATAACTTTTGTGCTAGCTTGACATTTGGGCTGTCCCAAGTTTTTGTCTAACTACTTGTTGGACATGTTTATCTATAGTAGTCCAGCATGTTTAGTTATTGTAGTCTGAAAATATTTGCTATCGATTTGCTTTCCTAAAATCATTAATTCTTTCAATTTAATCTACTTTCACATCAATGCCATGTTAGATGGAGTATATTAGGTCATACATAAATATAGAAAATATAATAAATATTAATTGAGCGCTTAATTTATATTATCGAATATTGGTAATAATATCAATAAAAGAAAGTTCTCTTGGGCTTCCAAACATGGTTCAACTCTACATATTCTTGTATGGTCAAAGGGGATCAAATTTTTTTTTTTTTTATTTCTAAAATTTCTTAAAATTTAATTTATAACAATTTTCGCATTGAACCAACAAATACTAGTATTTTTAGTTAAGAAATTTTCGGAAATTTTCACACTTGGGGTAGATTTTGGTGCCCATATTTTGTAAGCCTCACCTTATAAATAAGCAATTTCTTTTCTACCGAACATGTTCTCAATTTTGCAAGAAATTTTTATCAATAGTTTTTTTATGACCTTTCCCTTGGGTTAGTAATCTAAATGGTCACTGAACTTTACAAAAAGTTTTAACCAGGTCGCTAAACTTTAAAAATCACTCAAGTCTTTGCTAAACTTTGCAAAAGGTTTATACAGGGTCATTGAATTTAAAAAATCACTCAATTTATCACTGAACTTGTCAAAAGATTTCCACGAGGTTACTAAACTTTGTAAAAACTTTTCCATAGGTCACCGAATTCAGTGAACCATAGGAAAGTTTTTACAAAGTTCGATGATGAATGAGATAATTTTTAAAGTTCAGTGACCATTTAGGTTATTAACTCACTTTCCATTTTTCTTTTTCTAGCGCTGCTCACAGTTTTCTTCATTCCTCGAAGTCCAAAGAATTACGAGAAAGAATTGATAAGTCGCATTTTTCGACGATTGGGAATTTTCATAAGGCGGCTAAAAATGGCGGCAGAATCTTTGTGTGTACAGCCCTCTGCTACTGATTCTTCGACTTCTCGATTAAATTATATATTTGGAGGGCCTAAATGGAAACCTCCAATTGCTACAGCGTTTGTAGTTAGGAAGTTCAGTGCAAGGTTAATTATTTAAGCTTCTCACGAACCCTTGGATGACAGCAAGAACAACAAGTTCTATAAAGAACTAGGTCTCTCTCTCTTTTTCTCTCTCGTTCTATGTTTATAATTGTGTATGCATATGCAATTTCAGGATTTTGGAGTCATTTGTGTACTCATATGGTTTTCTTGGCCCATATAAGAAAAAATGTTTATTGTTAGATGCAAAATCTCTTACCCCTTCTCTTGAAAATTGAATAAATAAATTGAATAAATTAATGAGAAGATATGCAGCTAAAAATTTGCACAAGTTAATGAGTCTTCAAAAATATGTGAAAACACTTTATGCTTGTTTTCGTCATTAATAACATTTGTTATTTATATTGTTTGAATGTTATTGGTATTTCGTTTCTTAGTTCAGTTAGTTATACACCACAACAATCATAATTTGGATTGACTTGGACCTATAGAGAACAATAAAAACTATTTTTCTATACTTATTTTAGCCTCAGCTTCTCAGCATTTTTTTCTATTTTGCCTTTCCTTTATTGGATATTTATCTTCAAGACGATTTGTTTATGAGGTAGTACATTATTTAGAAAATGGTTAATTTTGAGTTTGTGGCATTTTACATGTTTTTCAAGAAAAAGGCCTTGTAAATCAAGGAAATATATTCCCCTCAACGAAGTTATGGTTTAAATTTTAAAGAGTTATTGAAGCAATATTATGTTTCCTATATACAGCTATAAATTTAACTTCAGATTTCTAAAATAAGGATCGACTGTTCTCTGTCAATTCTACGAACAAGGAAAAATGAATCCTAAGGCCTGATAATCATTAGGTTATTTTCACAAAGATTATTTTACAATACATTTACTCCTTGCATGATTTTCAGATCTGCATTTCTTCAAGATCATATTTGTATGATATATGCATCCAATAGTCTAATACTTCCCGCTTGGATTGGTTGTAATGGTTTGGTTTTATATATGCATGTTTTCTTTAAGAAAAAGGATAGAAGATTCGATTCTCCGTGCATGGATGTTAGCTCCAATAGCCTTGGAACATGAAGAAGCAAGACATTTTAAGCAAGAAGAAATTATTCGTGATCATGACTTGTGGGATGACCCAGGGAAATCGAATGAAATCCTCATCAAACTAGTCGACAGTGCCAAGGTGGTTGATGCCTTTAAAGACCTCAAATATAAGGTAGTGCACTTCTTGTGCAAGTATTTATATGTCTATTTGGATACAATTAGACTTGAGAGAGAGAGAGAGAGAGAGAGTGTGTGTGTGTAAATTTGCACATTTGTTTGTAATATACTAAGTTATTTGAGGTTATAAGATGATAGTGAAGGGGACTCAATATTTTGAGAAGTCGTAAATCTCTACTGCTGGCTGAGGAAGCTAAACCGATTAAGAGCTTGCAGAGCTGGATACCATAAATTACGAGCTTTTCAAGCAGGCACATTTTGGATCTGTAAATTTAAAAAAGTTTTTGGATAAGTATGAGATGTCCAAGTTTCTGAAAGAGCCATATGACATGGAGGGAGCATGTCTCATAATTGAATCTAGACGTGGAGACATTTAATCGGAGGTTTGTGATTTGTGACTTTATTCTTTTCTATAGAGTCACTGCTCTTTTAAATGAAATGCCCTTTATAATTCATCAGTGATGGATGATTTTACTTCGCAAAAAATGTTTATTATTCTATAATCTATTTTTAACCTTGACTCTCTAAAGTTTTACTTTGTAGATATAAGCTATTTTTTTAAACCAAATCTTTTATTGATTCGTTTGTCAATTAATAAAGGTTTGACTAGGTTCAAGATTAGGACTGTCCATGAGCACACCCTTTAGAGTTTCTAATACGTACATGAATAACTTTGTTGAATCCTTTCTTTGAGCTTTCTTACATGGTCAATGTGATTGTCAATGATTCATTCTTGTTAATCATAGTTCCTTTTATTTTCTTTTTGGCTCTGGCTTTATGTCTTTTATCAATTGTTTTTGTATTCCTGCTAATGAATAGTTACAACTTTGTCAAATTGGTAACTAATTCTACATACCTTACTGCTTTTTCATTGGATAAACTTGCTTTAATGTGCTATGATGTGTTCTTTCTTTTTTTATGCATTATTCGTATATTCAATGTATGAACGAGTTTGAAACAAACCTCTAAACCTTAGTAGACTTTTAGTATAGTTGGCCACATGGATCAGCTTCTTTGTTTCTAGACTCGCAAGGACCATTTCCTCCATTAATGTAATAAAGCATACGAGTTACTTGATATTTTGGGAAAAGATGATCTTTTATCTCATTAGCAGTAGGTTTGTATTTTATTTTTTTAGCAGAACTGGGTCTTCTCCATTAAGATCTTGATGTAAATTCTATTTAGACATGGGCAGTACAACTCATTCGAATGTACATGAAATGGTCTAAAAATCAAGGTCATGCTGTGAGGTTAGTTGAGAGATGTCTTGCAAAGGATGGAGGTATCAAGTCAGCAACAATTGAATGCGAATTCAAATTTGCTTATGGCTATCTATCAGGGGAAAGAGGTGTTCACCAAATAATTGAAAATCATAAGAGTGAATTTAATTACCCTGAGGTATGAATTTCTGATACTATTACAAAGGACCCAGAAATTTCATCATTGTGATTAAATTTTTACTGTCAATTGATTGATAAAGAAAGGACACTTTCGTATTTTCATCGATAATTTCTGTATTATTTATTTGGTAGATGTTGGTTAGAATAATAATAAACCAAGCCTTGTTCCCAATAACATGGGACATGAATAATTTTTTGCCATTTTTTCAGGTCATTGCTATATCTTTTGGAAGAATTGATAAATGTTATGTGCTCTTGAAAAATGACTTACAATCCTTGTGATCATTTTGTGAACAATAAGAACTCTGACCATGACTACACCACCACGTTTGACTGGTTACAATCGAAGAACACTGTTGTATATGATATCATGGTTAATAAGAATTATTTTATTATAAAGTTGGGAAAATTTCTATAGAAAACGGGTACTAGAACATGCTTTGACATGGTGGTTATCAAAAAGTAAGGACAGGCAAAAGATAATGTTGGGAACAATCAATTAGGTTTTTTAGTTTCATGAAAAATTTGGTATACTAATACCTTAGATAAGAATAAAATACATGATTACGTTAGACATGAACATTCTTCACCATATTTGTCAACATATAAATATATTGATATTGATAATAAGGAAAAACTTATGGCATACTGCCCAAGTTATAGCCAAGCATATCTTGGTTTGAGAACTTAAAGTCTTCCTAAAATATCAGAACAAGAAGAGGCTACTATATGGTGGCAAATGAACCACAAGAATCTATGCGTGTTTGGCAAGCTTACTTCTAAGAAAAGTTTTGTTTCCAAACTTATCCGATACAGTTTTTTTTACTTAGAACTAAAAAAAAGTTATTTGGGCAGTAAAGGGGGAATTATTTTCAAAAATAGGCACACCTTAGTCCAACTTCGAGCAACCAAAATCTTTAATTTTATAACCTACTTATTTACTTTTCAGTGAAGTTTTTAAGCTATGCCAAACACATGCACACAGAGCTTATCATTTTGGCTAGTGAGTTTGGCTCTCAGTTCTATACCCCGCATCTTTAAATATCTTGTTCAGTTTTAGAATTGGCTATTGAATAAGTAGTGGTTCTTTAATATCCCATCCTATATTCAGATAATATAACATATAAAACCCTAATTCTTCATTTTTTGGTGCTTGAGTTTCATCTCCTTGTTTATAGCGTAATTTGGAAATTTTGAGAAAGAAATTTCATTTTTACATCTAATATCTAATTTTAATTGAACCTCAGACTCTTGATACAAAGGCCCATATTATATAATATTGTTGCATTACTACTACTAATATGTTGTAGGCTAGCTTAGCGGTTGTGGATGTGATTCCTTTATTCCTTGAATCATTACCCGGACTATTAATTGATAACGAGGATCTACTAGTCTACTGCTCATCGTCTTCCAAGAAGCCAGGCAAGATTTCTTCATCAATTTCCATTCAGCATATTCCAACTGGTGTAGAAGTCCAATCAGCAGGTGAGAATTTTGCTTGGGATAGTTATAGTTTCTGTTAAGTTCATATTATTATTTTTCTTGGTTTTGTAGTAATATAGTTCTGATTCATGTGCTTGGCTCAGTTTCTTTGATAAATACACATTTGGACTCTACACAGACAGCAAAGCCACCAAATATACATACACGATTGCACAACCATACCCATAATCTCTGACTTGTGATGGCAATTATAAAGTGCCTCGAGAATAATGAAAAATATGCGTAAGTAAACGAATAATGATATCTTGCAGCTTTTGCTACTGTTATAGATAAAAGGCTTTCTTGTCATGGATGACGTTCATATGTATTTCCTTACCAAAATAGTACACGACTCGAGCCCATGAGCTATTGCATTAGCATATTTGTTCTAAAATAGAAAATATCAAAAGGAGATGAAAAGATTACCAGTTTTTTGTTAAAAATGTGCATTTTTCTATTCTACATTTTCAAAATGTTCTACAGTCATTAAGAGAAGATGAACAGGAGAAAGAAAGGACAACGAAAAAGACTGTTCTCTTTGTAGGTGAAAGGAGCCATGTTACAAATAAGATTAAGGCCCTTTAATTGCTTGAAGGCTAAAATATGAGTAATATAAAGAAGGATGATGTTGTTGATATGTGGAGTCACGAGGCACGGAGGTATGTGTTTTGACCTACCAAGATGGTAGAAGATGCAAAAATCAGTACCCAATTTCCTGATGTAAATGCTGTTTAAAACAGAAACATCGACTCTCTTATTGCGGCTCACATTAATATTATACTGGCATATAATGTCGTTTAACCAGTTTCAGTTCAAAATTTTGTTCTACATATCTTGTTTTTATTTTTACAGTTGTTGGTGTAAAACATTCTTCTGTACATGAGCTGCTTATTTTTGGTTTCTGATAGCTCATTACGAAGCCATTAGTGTTGTCCTTGAGAAACAAGGAAATCTGTTGGATTTTTTAATACCCAATAAATCTCAAGCTATAATCTTAACGTGGGTTAATATACTTCGTAGGCATAGGTCGACGAATGAAATAAGTCTAATAACCAAGTTCATGAGCTCCACCCGGTCCAATTGTATTTCCTTTTGGATGGCTTGAATCTTAACCTGTTTATCTCTTTCTTGGTCCAATTAAAAGTCTAACCCTAGTATACTTATAAAGAATAAAATCTAGCCACTTTCAAGGATGATTTGTGTGGTTTGTGTGTAAGAAAAGGAGAATCCAGACTGCCCCTTGAAGTGTGTGAAAAAGGGCTCCTAGAAGTGTCCAAAACACTTGTTAACTTTGTGTAATTGGTGGTTCTTTCATAATCTACCTTTATGATTTTTTCTCCTTGCCTTTGTGGCCACAAATCATCTCCGTTTCTTGTCCTTCATGAGTAAGATTGAATAGAAATCGAGGTGAATTATATTGGTTGTAGATCGAAACCAGTTGGATTGGTTGTTGGTAGAGAAAGATACATTGGACTGAGCCCAAAAACACCAATTTAAAGACCCTTGGAAAGAGCTTCCATAACATGTATTAGAGCTTCAATGTGGTGGTTTTGGCTCGTGAAATATACCAGAAAACGACCTAAAAACCAGCAGAAACACAACAGAAATCAGATTGAAGAAGCTATCCAAAAAACTGTGCAAAATTCAAACTTGTTTGTGTAATTTTCGGACAATCCAGAAGGAGTTTTGTGAAATGGAAAACCACTAGTGTGACATGCAAGTGGTAGCAGTCCAACCTGTCCAGCGCGTAAGGACCACCGGCGGCGCGTAAGCACCACACGCAGGGAGAGAAGCCACGTGTGAGGGCGGGTGAACAAGATTTTCGAGATTGTCTCTTCAGGCAGTTTGTTGCTAACATTATTTCTGACATTTTGGTGTTGTTAGTTTTCTGTTTCAAGTTGTGTAGTAGAATCTGGACAAAATTGTTCTATTTTCATTTTAAGTTCTATTTTTTACCTAGGTTTTCTACCATCTGATAAGTGTCATCCAGTGCTAAAGAATTTACCTTTTAAATGCTGGTGAAGGTTCTTTGGATAGAAGCAATCAAGTGATTACCGAAGATGAGCCAAATATCACTAAAAACACCTCAAAAAGAAAATCTAAGGGGTTATCAAGTAGTAAGATTGTCCAAATTACAGATGATGATTTGGAGGTTTCTGGAACTAAAAGGACATAGAGAAGTGCAAAGCAATCTCCTGTAGACACCGTTGACGTAAAAACTTTGCAGAATATGACGGAGCAAGATCTGAAGATTCCCCGGGAATTGAGACAATTAAATTTTACTAAAATAGTTTCATTAGCTCCCGAGGTATTATAAAATGAGATCATCCATTGATGAGGAAGGTTTTTTTGTTTTATCTCTGTCATTGACATTTCCAGACTGGAATTATTACTATTACTCTTACCTTATCTACTAAAATATCCCAAATGAATAAATGGCACATGATAATATCAGATAAAACATCCATTCAGGCAAAGAGAAAAGTTTCGTCGAGAATAACTTCTGCAAAATTTAAAGCCCCAGACAGTGTTGACCTTGCCGTAGAGGAACCTTGGACTATTTTTGCGCACAAGAAGCCGCAAAAAGGGGTGGATTGCTTACAATCCCAAAACTGTAAGGCCACCTCCTCTTGCTGTTGATATGGACATTTGAAGTTAATGTCTTGGAATGTCAATGGTTTAAGAGCTTTATTGAAGTTGGAGAGCTTTTCCACGTTGCAACTTGTACAAAGAGAGAATTTTGATATATTATCCTTGCAATAGACTGAACTCCAGGCAAGTAGTTTGTTTTCAAATTTGAGAAACGTAATTGGAGTTCACTGCTTCCATTAGGATAGTCTATAGAACGAGAGAGACACTTCTCGGCAGGCTCCTTGTCCCTTGTATCTAGTATTCTTGCATTGAAATCTATGAAAGCCTGTGAGAAAATTTTGGCATGCTAACAAGTTTGATTATGCAAATATTTGATGGTTAGAAATTAACTTTAGGGTCATTATGATGATTAGAACAATTGAATGACTCTTTCCACATAGTTGGCCAGACTTTATGATTCCCCATATGTTCTGTAGTGGATGGAAACACTTTAGTGGGAAGCCTATCACATAATGTGGAAGAAATTACAATATCCTGGACATAGGATATCTTGTATGTTCTGGTCCCAACTTGGCAAGTATTCCTTTGGATCTCACTAAGAGTACTCTTACTGATGCAATGAGAGCCTACAGCCCATGTGTTTTTTTTTTTTACCCCCAAGAATCATGTTATTTTGGAGTTAATAACATTGTATTTTCAATTCCTTAAGCAGGAGAAAGATGTTGAGTCAATCAAACAAAGTCTCCTAGAAGTTTACGACAAAAGCTTTTGGACATGCAGTGTCTCGAAGTTAGGTTATTCTGGTACAGTTATTATTTTACGGGTACAGTATTTTTCTGTTTTACTTGTTTCATTGGGGATAGTTCCAATTTCGCACTTCCTGAAGTGTCTTCATTTTTTTTTGGATAAAACCCCCTGTTCTGACTTGGGGAGAGGGTTGAAGACATGTGGCGCCTCTGTCTTCAATCCTGTCCCCAAGCCGGGCAAAGAGCAGGTCTCTCTTTTTTTTTTATGGAGGACTCATTCCCCTTCTTTTCATTTGGCAGATGAAACCACTTTCTGTCAGATATGGACTGGGCATGTCAGATCACGATGGCGAAGGACGTCTTATAACAGTGGAATTTGAAAATTTCTATTTGTTGAGTGGCTATGTTCCCAATTCTGGTGATGGTCTCAGAAGATTGGTAAATTATTTCACATTTTTATTTTATGGCCTTGTTTCTACTTCCCTCGGTTATTTTGCTTCCTAGCAAACTGATCAAAATTCCTTTGCTAGTCATACAGAATTAGTCAGTGGGATCCTTCACTTAGCAACTACATGAAAGTAGGTCTTAACGCATGCACGTACATTATCAATTACTTGCCCTCTATGTTGAACTTCATAGTTACATATTGAAATTAGAAAAATTGGTTAGTGAAATATTAGGTGTACTTCCAGCAAACTGGAATGTGAATAATTTATCTTCCAACTGTAATTAAGATGTTGATCTACAATTTTCTTTGTCAATAAATATGCAGGTTATTTAAGTTGTTTAATAATAAATGGATAATAAAATGCATATTAATCTAAATTTAATGTTAACTTCGTTTTCTTCATTTTCCTAAGTTATTCTTCATTTTCTTCATATACTTGCCCACTCAACTGACATATTCAATTTATTTGCCTTACTTTTGTGCATTGGTTCTTGCTTAGTTGTTAATTTCTCCATAAAATTAGGAATGTTTTACAAGTTCTAACACTATATCTAGGTGTAAATATCTTTCAAAATAATTTTACTTTGTCGTTACCTTTTCTTTTGCTTCTTTTATATTATTTGGATCTAATGTCTCTTTGTTTCCATCCCTTAAAAAAGAAAAATAATTTTGCAATGGACAAGGATAAATTCTAGTCCTATTTCACTATGAGAATTCTCACGAGGTGTGGGTCACACGCATTTTTGGAGGATTCACCTATGTAAGAGTTGTCATGAGACTGTGGTTATGAAATTGGGTTATTTCCTATAAACTCTTATTAGAATCAAGATTAGAGTGCGTGGTCATTTAGATCGCTATTTGCTATGAACTAGAGTCTAAATCAATGCTTTTTGTGGGACAATTGAAGTTCAGCTAAAGGGACTTTAATTCAAGATTTAGTCCATTATGATTCCCTCAAATAAAAATTATTATCACTAAGTGAGGTTTAAGTTCAAAAGACACTTATACCTATTACACAGTATAACGTTGCTGCTATTTATTATGCCCCTGTTTGAGCTATATTTTTTCATCAAAATATATTCTTCAATTATGATTTGATACCGTTTCAACCACATATTTTTCAATAAAATAATATTATACTCAAATGCATAACTTTTCCTTATTTTCTAATAACATATTCTCCATTTTAACACTATTTCAAAATGCATTTTTCTAGAAAATGGGGCTCAAAAAACCCCTTATATATTTATATATTTTGAAAGTTTAAAACTTGTGAGGAATTGTTGCGTTTTAAATTTTCAAAAATTAAAATTGATTTTAATTTTCAGTTTTTCTTTATAAAGGGAGGAAATTTTATAATCTGGACACAACTTGAGTTCATTGAATACAAAAATACTCTATTTATATTTTATATTATATTTACATCGTTTTGTTAGTTTGATGAGAGGCTCATTCTTTATCTTCCTATAGTCGTGTCCATAGAAGGAGAATTGGCTGTGAGCCACATGCGTTTTATTTTGAAGCCGTGTAGTGCTGAAAGTACCCGAGCTAAAAGGAGACAACATGACTTTAAAACAGCATCCTTGACGTGACTCCCTAATACTTGCAATTCTAACTGTCTTCTTATTGTTGAATTTCAATGTTATCATATTATTATGTTTATGCAATTATTAAATTATGTTATTTATATTTATTGGTTGATATATTTATCTACACACAAATCACCAACTTTTCCCAATAAGACCTATATCTACTTTGTAGCCGAATGATTCATCATAACGTACTAGAATCCTTTATATCATATACATGACAGGTTGATTCATAGTCGAGAAGTTAAGTATACTACATGATTATATTTTAAACAAACTAACACGTAGGTCTATCTTTGATCCATGGTGAACACCAAAATGTATTGATGTACAATATATATATTGCAATCAAATATGGGTGAACAATTCTTTCGTCGATATTAATTGTTCAACGTAAAAGAAATGACCTCTTGAGGTGATAATTGGTAAATGGTTTTTCGTTGTAAATCTCACTACAAGAAAAAAGGTCTTTTGCAACATGCAAAAGGCAACATTCACCGATTGCATGTAGCTAAAAGGGGTCTATCGCAACGTTCAGTAACTGTATGTTGCTATTGGATGACTAAATGGAGATTTCACAGCGTTTTGTTAAGGGATGTTGCTAATACAACTTTTTGCAACGTGCAAAATCCGTTGTCATTTAATTTCTTTTTGCAACGTACAAAGCGCGTTGCGTTTAGAGTTTTTGTAACGTGCATTGCGCATTGCCATTATTCAGTTTTAGCAATAGACAATGCGTGTTGCCGTTTTGTTGTTTTAGCAACGCACGTTTGAACGTTGCTATTGACTTTTGGCAACGTATATTGCGCGTTGTGCTTAGATTTTTAGCAACATGCATCGCGCGTTGCCGTTATTAGTTTTAGCAACAGACAATACACGTTGCCATTATATTTTTTAGCAACGCACTCTTGAACGTTACAATTAACTTTTAGCAACGTACATTGCGCGTTACCGTTAAAACATTTTAGGCCTTTTTTTTCTCTTACCCGCCCCCCCAACCTAGCAAAGAAGAAAGACTCAATAGCCATTACAACCTAAAGCCCTTCTTCACCCACTCTGAGAAATCCCGCGAACTGTCCTAGCTTCCCTTCGAACTCTTGCAGTCTCATCTTCCCACTCAAGGTGCCATTAATCGATTCTCGAATTGAAATTCGGTTAGGGAAATGAAAGTCTCCCCTCATCCAGCTCTCTGGTTCTTCTACCCACAACTGAAGCAGTAGCCTCAGTCGTAGTGCAAAACAGCCCAGCTCACGTAAGTATTCCTTTACTTCAATCAGAAATCTACCCATTGGAACATACACACACTCTTTGCTCGTTAAGCAAAATCAATGGAAGTTAATTCAGTGAAAGATTTCTGTAATTATGTGAGTCCCAAACTCTACATTTTTACTCGATTTGAGATTCACCAAACTTAATTAAATTTATTTCCTTTTATTTTTTCAATTTTGATCGTTTTACTTTTTTGTTGCAGTTAATTATTTTTGCATTTCGAAGAGGCCGCATTTCTGACGATTTTTGCAGATTATCGATTTCTCTTAAATCTTTTCCTCAATCCACTCCGCCTCTTCTTTGGATCTCAGGTACTCTCACGTAGAGTGTGTATGAAATATTTCTTAATCTATCATTTTGTCGTATAAATTCTGTGTATCTATCGTGTTCTCTGTTGATTTAGTTTGCTAGTATATGGCTTGGCTGTAATGAGATAGCAATCAGTAAATGCTGTGGTGTAATTGAACTGTAATGAAATCATCAATAGTGTCCTTACAGATAATAAAATTAGGAAATTGAACTGGACTTGTGG